TGGTGTGTTTTGAGAAAGTTCTGCCCTGTCTTTTGTTCTTCAGACAGGCGGAAAACCTTTCTGCTCCTTTTTCCTGACTATTTTAGTCCCTCGTTTCTCAGGAGCCTGCTTTTTTGTTGTTATGTTTTTCCAGCTCCTGTGGAGGCTCATGCCAGGCCTTCCGCAGCCGTTTGAAATGTGAGACCCCCTCGTGTGGTTCTGCTTCGGCTGCTTAATGGAATCTCAGCCTCATATCCTCCGTGGTATTTGAGGGGGGAAAAAAATGAAAAAAAAAGGGTCTGGGTGGCCCTGAGTGAGGAAAGAGCTTCACAACCACTTACACAAGCAAACTCCCCTTTTATACAGGCTTTCTAGCTAGTCTTACTGCTTGTTTAAAGAGGAGTTCTTCCATCTTTTTTATTTTTCTTTTTTTAAATATTCTGAATAAATTAAATGGTTGGCATGTAAACAAAGTCTTTCAAAGTGGTTTGGTGTGAAACGCTTCGTTGTAGAGAAACTTACCAAGTCAGAATTGTTCACAGTGGTGGTGATAGGAACCAGACGTCCACCTCTAAAAGCTCCCTCACAGAAAGTTATTACATAAAATGGTAAAATGGACTGATGTCTGAGACACTGTTTTCTGATCGTTTTGAGAGCTTAAAATCCATTCATGGTGAAGGGATACATGCAGGGTGCTGTGAGGCAAAATAGTCCCCAAAGAAACCTTATTATTTCAGATTTTCCACTATTTTCCCAACATCAACATTCCATATAAAACTCAGAAGACACGTGTAGGTTCACTGGTGGTTTTGGATAAACTGGCTGTATGGTGTTTTTAGTTTAAGACTGGAGCTATGGACAAAACCATAGACAGGATTCAGGAAGGCTGCTAATGTTTTTAGTTATGCTAATGTACTTTAGTCCATGTTTATAGATAACAGTGAGTCATACAGTGTCATAAACCACATGATCAAGTCTATTAGAGATACTGAACAGCTCTGCACAGTTTGAAGCAATTGTGTGTTGATTTAAGCCTGCAGTTAGCATGATGCTAACTAGTGTACATAAGCTTCCAATAGCTTGTTAGCTACATTAGCCTTGTAGCTCCAGTGTAAGACTAATGAAGCAAATATTTGGAGGAAGGAGAAGCGAGGAGGACTGTAAACGTGATTTTTAGCTCAACTGTCCCTTAAGGTTTAATCATGCATTTGCTTATTGGTCTGTGTTAAATGGCTCGTGTTTGTAATAATGTTAGATAACGCTGCTCTGAATTTGTTTCATAATTTGTCTTATTGGACTGTTTTTCTCATCTTCTGCTTGTCTTGTTTTTCCCCTCTTTAACCATCACTCTCGGTATGACTGGCCTGAGGCCTCGGCTGAGCTCTGACGTGGAACGCTTCGTTTTTTCCTCCCTGAGTTTGGTTACATAAGAGATTCGAGGCTACTGCACACCATCTGACTTTTTTCCTGACCCATTTGAGGGCTCAGAGGGGAAGAAGTGTTCTCCTTCTGTCTCTTTCTACTTTAACTGAACTGATCATTAAAGGAGATCCTTATTTATACAGCCTACATTTTGCATAAGCAAAGTTGACATACATTTAAATGAACAGCTCAAGCAAACATGCTTTAAACAGGAATTCCACCCATTTTTCAGAATTACTGCAGAATTAATGGTTATGGTATAAACAGAGTAATCCAGAGTGGTTTGACGTGAAATGCTCTGTTGCAATGGTTATAAATACACTGCCTGATTACTGAGACATTGTTTTATGATAGTTTTGAAAAGGTTTTGGCTGAAACCTCTATTCATGGTGGAGGGATACATGCAGGGCATTGTGAGGCAAACTAGTTCCTAGGAAAACATATTTTTTTACCATCATCAAAATTCCTTATAAAAACTAAACATTATGCTAACATGGCTAACAGCAAATGGAAAGTAAGAAGCATCAATTAGCATAATGTAATTTACATTACACTGATTGGTGGGCATTCACTTTCATGAACTTTTAGCTTTTATGTCTGAGCTGTTCATTTAAGGCATAGATCCCCCATAGAGCCCTTGACTTTCAGGCTCTGAATTTCGCCTGCTGTCCTTTAGCGTAGCGATGGTATTGTTTGTGGTGCCTAGCATAGCAACACCCACCAACACTGCCACTGTCGCACATGCACACTTTATTTTTAGAGTGTTTATGGAGGCCAGAGAATGTGCTCTGCTGTGCTTGGAGACTTTGGAGAATCCATAAAGAAAGGACAGGCTGAGTCTCCATCAGAAGAAGATGGCCTGGTGCTACTCAGTGTTATGTAACCTGCTAGCCAAGTGCACTGTGTGCTCCATTAGGCGCGCTAGTTTTAGCACTTGGGATTAGTGAGTGATGTTTCATTTGCAAGCGATTCATTCTTTTGTGAACTGATCTTTTGGATGAACAAATTGAACTGATTCTCCTTAATAGATCATTTCCGCTGAGCTAACTTACTTAGCTAGAGCTAATACAGTGAGGCATCTAATGACAGACTTCTACTGTATTGTTTTTTTAGTGATTGTGCATTGCATAGCAACCGCCGCAACCACCTGGGATACCATAGCAACACTCTAGCAATCACCTGGGATAACATAACAACCACCTAGCAACACCCTAGCAAACATTTGGCATAACATAGCAACTGCATAGCAACACCCTAGCAACCACCTGCAGTTAGCATGATGCTAACTAGTGTACATAAGCTTCCAATAGCTTGTTAGCTACATTAGCCTTGTAGCTCCAGTGTAAGACTGACAAAGCAAACATAGCAAACGTAAAGTAAAGAAGGGGCAGGGCAGATTTCAAATGTGATTTTTGGCTAAACATGTCCCTTAAAAATAAGACGTGTTTGCTTATTGGTCTGTGTTAAATGGCTCATGTTTGTAATAATATTACATAACGCTGCTCTGCACCCTAGCAACCACCCGGGATAACATAGCAACCACCTAGCAACTTCTTAGCAAATTTAAGCTGCGGGATCACTCCGCATTTTTTTCAGGAAATGTACTTTTCCTCTTCTTCTTCTTCTTCTTCCTCTTCTTCTTCTTCTTCTTCTTCTTCTTCTTCTTCCTATTTTTTATTTTTCTCTCAGATTTGTGTCCTCTAAGTCATCCTGCAGCTTTCGAGATATCAACAGTCTGATCAGGAATGGTGTACTTGTGTACAGCATTTTGATTGGACGTATGGTTTTCGTACAAACATACGTACAGATGATATTTCGTACAGACAATATTGTTTCCCATAGGACCAGCTTACATTATGGTGTTAGAAATCCATTAGTTACACACTATTAACCAAGTAGGATATCATAGCAAACACCAGCAACGGCCTAGCAACACCCCAGCACCACCTAGGTTACATTAGCAAGTGCAAAGCCACATCTTAGCTAGCTTTAAGCTGCACAGTCACTTTTCGAGTTTATATTTTCAAACCCAATACTCACTCAGTGTCTTTACTAAAGAACCATTGAGGAACCATATTTTTTAAGAGTGTAAGTTATTATTAATGTTGGAGTAAGATTGTAACTGTTTCAGTGATTTTGAAAGGCGCTATAATGCCCACCGGTCGCCCTCTGAGGGAATTTTTCACCCTTTGTGTCTCTGCAGCCAGGATGAATTGTTTTATCCTGCTTTGCTAACAGGCATCAGAGCTGATAGTGGAGAGTGAGGTCACAGAGCGGACTGTGCACTCGTCCACCTGCTCACAGGTGTGTGTGCTGAGCGAGGGGGCGAGAGATGGTTTGAGAGAAGAGCCGTGATGTGAACAGAATGTTTCTCAGGCAGTGTGCAGGCATGCTGAACAGGTGTGTGTGAGTGAGTGAGAGTGTGTGTGAGAGTGCTGGAGCAGGTTTGTCAGGGTGTGTGTGGCGGCTGTGTTGCTGTTAAAGCGCAGGTTTGCAGGTTTTGCTGGTTGTGAGGGCAGCGAGATGGTTAAAGCTGAACTGAGTGAGGAGGATCTGACTGCATTCCACAGCCGCTCTGCCGTTACCATGGAGACACACACACACACACACACTCACACACACACACACACTCACACACACACACTCACACACACACACTCTCCCTTTCTGTCACTCTTTTTTCTTCTCTCTCTCTTTTCACCCAATTTCAAATCTGATAAAAGTGCACTGTCACTAAAGAACCATCAAGTGTATCTGTTTATACCTGTCTGTCTGTCCAACAGACAGACAGTTAGGAAGACAGACAGACTGACAGAAAGGCGGTTAGACAAACATTTGTTTATCTGCTTCTATCTTTTTTAAACTGCCTGTCTGTTCTTCTTCCTGTCTTTCTGTCCTAATGTCTGTCTGTCTCTCTGTCTTTCTATCTGTCTCTCTCTCTATCTATCTGTCTGTCTGTTTCTCTGTATCTGCCTGTCTGTCTTTCTAACTGTCTGTCTGCCCTAATTTCTGTCTGTTTCTCTGTCTGTCTTTCTGTCTCTCTCTCTATCTGCGTGTCTGTCTACCTGCCTGTCTGTCTTTCTATCTTTCTTTCTGTCTCTCTCTGTCTGCCTGTCTCTTTCTTACTGTCTGTCTGTCCTTCTTTCTTTCTTTTTCTTTTTAACTTTTTTCTATAGCTTGCATATTTACTTTCTTTCCCTCTGCTCCTTCTGTTTCACTCTCTTCTCTCTCACTTTCACATTTCTCATTATCTCTATCTCTTCTTCTGTAACTCACATACTCACGCTGTTTCAGTTAGACTCTCCCACACTTCCTCTCTCTCTCTCTCTCTCTCTCTCTCTCTTTCTCTCTCTCTGTGTTTGTTTTCCCCTCTTCTGCTTTTCAGATGAGCGAGCTCATGCAGTCTGATGGAATCTACCATTCTTATTCAGAGGGGGAGTTTAAACCACTCAGTCTGGGAGAAACTAGCCTTTTCTTTTAAAGTGGGAAAACTTCCCCTCCTCCCCCTCGGAGTCTGCAACATAGTCCAGCCTGAGGTGGGGGGGGTCGGGCAGCCAGCTGATCACTGCCGAGGTATTCAGAGAGAGAGAGAGAGAAAAAGAGAGAGAGAGTTCAGAGTGAGACAGGAGAGTTCAGAGTGAGACAGGAAAGAAGCAGAGAAAGCACTAGAAAAGGGACAGAGAGATAGAGAGGGAGAGAATAAGGGTGAGAAAAGAGAGAGAGTGAAAGAGTTCAAAAAGGAGGGGGAGAGTGAGTGAGAGAGGAGAGAGAGAGAGAGAGAGAGGCTGTAGCCCTCCTTCTCTCAGTCGCAGTAGGTTGAGGAAGCAGCTCGACTTCACGAGTTGCCACGAGGAGAAAGAGGAAGAAGCCGTAAACGCGTGAGAAAGAAAGAACGGCCATGAAACGCAGCCTGAGGAGGACGAGAGGAGCATCCAGCTGCTGGAGCAAACTGTAGGAGGATAGAGTGTCAGAGAGAGAGAGAGAGAGTGACTCAGACTGGGTGGATCAGACTGGACTGTTTTTATCCTGACCAGCGCAGGAGTGTGTGTATGTGTGTTTAGACCAGTCTAAGCAGCGTGTGTGTTAGTGAACGGAGATGTCGTGGCTGTCGCCCGTTCAGTGGGCTAAATGGACGTGGTCGGCCGTGAGAGGAACGGGTGAGGAGGAGGAGGATGAGGGGATACGAGAGGAAGAGGATTCTCTCAGAGAAAGAGAAGAGGAAGAGGAGAAATCACAGAGGTACAGACAAGACTATAAACAACTACAGAGAAACTATAAACAACTACAAAGAACTGACACAACTACAGCATTTGTAAACTGCAGGGTTTAACTAAAAAGATGATGGATGGATCAATGGATAGATATACTTCTGTTATTGGATGTTTAGGTGCTACAGTAACAGTTAAAACATTATTAAGGACACTGTAAAGACTGCGTAAATACTGTGAGGATCCTATAAAGACTGTAAAGAACGTGTAAAGACCGTAAGGAAGAGTGTAAAGACTGTGAAGACTGTAAAGACAGCCTTAAGACTATAGGGGCACTATACAGACAGTAAATAGCGTGTAAAAACTGTAAGCCAGCATAAAGACCGTAAGGACAATATAAAGACAGTGAAAAGACTGTAAAGACAGTTTGAAAACTGTAAGGACACTGCAAGGACACTATAAAGACTATAAAGACTGCAAGGACACTAAAGAGGGTGTAAAGACTGCAAGGAGACTGTAAAGACGGTGTAAAGACTGTGAAGACTATGAAGACAGTAAAGATTGCAAGGACAATGTAAAGACAGTGTAAAAGCTGTAAGGACATTGTAACGTCTGCAAAGACAAGATAAAGACTAATCATTGTAAAGACCCTACAGATACTGTGAAGACGCTATAAAGACTGTAAAAACTGTAAAGACAGACAGTTATAAACTTTATTATTTATGTGGATAATTGCAGAGTTGCTGCCACAACAGTACTGTATGAAGTGCACATTAGAGGAGCTCTAACACATCTAAACATCACTGTGGTTTTCTAAACGTGGTTGGTGAGAGTGAACGTGTACAGATGATGTAACGCGAGTCAGTGAAGCTGCAGTGAAATGAAGAGCAGGTGTCAGTAATGAGAGTCTGCAGAGCTGCTGAAGCTGATCTGAGATCAGTGTGTCTGTGCGTTCAGTGAGGCAGTGTTCAGCTTTTAGACTGAGGATCTGAATACAGATGTGTGTGGTGTTGTGGTAACAGCTGGCGAGAGTCGTGCGTTTGCGTGTGTGTGCGTGTGTTTGTTTATGTCTGTACACACACATGATCTGGGCCTGTAGGGATGTTTTTATTCATGTTCTGGCGACCAGCCAGACTGTGTGTATGTGTGTGTGTGTGTTCCTACAAATGTGTGTGTGCCATGGTAACGGTTGGCAAAAGTCACGTGTGTGCGTGTGATGCTTGTCTGGGTATTTTATTTACGTCTTATTACATAATCAGACTCTCTCTCCACTGTGTATCTCTCTCTCTCTCTCTCTTCACTGTGTATCTGTCTCTCTCTCTCCACTGTGTATCTCTCTCTCTCTCTCTCCACTTTCTCTCTCTCTTTCTCTCCTCATACTCTTCTCTCTCCCTCTCTTTCTCTCCTCACTGTCTCCCTCTCTCTGTCCCTCTCTTCAGTCTCTCACTCTCTCTCTTCACTATCCCCTCCCTCTCTTTCTCCCCCTCTTCACTCTCTTATTCTTTCTCTTCTCTCTCTCTCTCTCTGTCTCTTCACTGCCCCCCTTCACTGTCTCTCTCTCTCTTCACTGTCTCTTTTTTGCACTCTTCCTCTCTCTCCCTCTCTTTTTTTCTCTTCTCTGTCTCTCTTTCTTTCTCTCTCTATCTGTTTTAATGTTCTCAGTGTAGACAGTGTGTTAATGTGTGTAACAGTGCAGCTGTATTTTGGCTGTTTACAAACTTTAACCGTCACCTCTCTGGGAGTGAGTGTGTGTGGGTTGTTGACATCCTGCCTTTGTGTGTGTGTGATCTGTGTGCTAACATTCTTTTCTGGAGTGTTCTTTTCTTCTTTTCTTCCCTTGTTCTTGAAGAGAAACACAGAAAAAAGAGCCAGTAGCTTATTTACATGGGAATAACTGAGACACACAATCAAAAAACAAAAAGTCTCTCTCTCTCCTCTCTCTCAGTGCTGGAAGTGACTCAGAGCTGCTCAGAAACGAGTTTTAGTCCAGTCATGCAGTGGGGAGCTTTAGTGATAACGGCTGCGTCCAGAGCCACAAACTACTCTATAACACACATACCGTACTGATGAGTGCACTGCTAATAGTGCTGGACTATTTTTGACCTGTAGTTTAGTGGTGTTGAACCGTGACTATTAGGGCGAGGCCTTCAGTTCTGTGGTGTTAGTTTTGTCAAAATGTTCAAAATATGTTACAAATAATGAGTTAAATAAAACTTATTTTTTCAAGAAGAGTACTACTCACTTTCTCTCATTCTGATATAAATGCATTACTCATTTAGGCAGTTTTTGCTTTAATCTTTTTCTCTGTGCTGAATTTGCTGAGATATTTTTTGCTTCTGAAATGTTTCTTTTGCTTCTGACTATTGGCACTTTTGACAGGGGGCGGGTTTTAGGAGTGTTCTCCTGCTTTTTTCCATGTTGATGACATGGCCTAACAGGTTTCTCCCTTCCCCCTCAGATTGTGTCTAAAATTGGATCATCGTCTGCCAAACCATTTTAATTTTGTGTGTGTGTTTCCTTACGTTTGAGACACGCTGTATATCCAAGCTTATATGTATCAGTTTTACAGTGAGTCTTTCTGTAAAGAGTTCTTGCATAGAGCTGCCACTGCTGTTTTACATTCCTGACAACTAACCAGAACCTGCTTAGACTACAGCTCACATTCATGGTCAGTGACATATCTAGAACCTCCAGAAGGACTAGAGTGATGTTTTTTTGTCACGGAATTGGTCCCATTGTAAGTCAAAGCGTGATTGGTTGGTTTTTCTGTCTTTTTCTAATTATGTCGGTAGTTAATCTAATGTGTAAGGCCTTCCGTCCAGCTCCTGAAGTCCTAACCAATTGGAGAGCTTGCTTGGCTGTATCTACATAGATGCCACAGAGAAGATTGGATAATTTTCCATTATACATTCAAGGTTTTAACTATTTTGTTTCCAACCAAAACCATAAAACCACAAAACCACAGTTCTGGGAGAGTTCCTAAATGTAAACGTGATTCTGTTAAATTAAAGTGAACTGAAAATTACAAAAATGTAATTCACCCAACAAACATTTTTATGCTATTTTATAATTTTTTTACTTATTAAACTTATTCACATTTTCCCAGGCCAATTTAATGTGTAATTTTGGTCAAAAAACTAAAACGTTTTCTCTTTGGTGGCCAAAAATTTGGTGCATCCTTACTTTTTTATTATGTATTTTGAACTGTGTATGTGATTATTATTACTATTGTTGTTGTTGTTGTTGTATTTTAACAGAAAAGAAAAGTCCTTTTAAATGAGTGTCCTGGGCACGATATGCAGAAACACAAACACAAAACAAAATACACATTACAAACATAAAACAGAAAAATCAATAATCAACAACCCATAATTAATCATTTAAAACACTGATATACAGTTTTACCCACTTCCACTGTATGTGTGCTGGTCTGTTTTGCTCAGTTTTAGAGGAAGTCACTGATTCGGTTGCATTTCAGCTGCAGAATTAAATAGAAAGCTGCTTATAAAAGCTCTTTTCAGACGTGTGTTAGGTCATTTTCCTGCAGGCAGTGTGGAATTGCAGGTGGCCTGCAGAGCAGGACTGGGCACAGCTCTCTCTCTCACACGCTCACTTACTTATCATTCCTCTCGTTTATCCTCGGGCGTCTACGGCCTCAGTGCTGTGAGTGGCAGCTCTGGTTTGAGGGGGGCTCGTTTTTGTTCCTCTCCTGAAAGGTCACTTCAGAGTTTAATCCAGTGTTTCCAACTAATCCTGTAATCCACCTGTACAGGTGTGTCCCCGCTCTGACTTAGCTCCTGTAGGACTATAATATATATATAGATAATGATGTGTCTCAGGTGCAGGTAAACCACACCTGTACAGGGCAGGTAGACTACCCTGGGGCTGCAGACAGTACCTTAGTGATTTGCCTGCTCTAATGTGCCTTATTAACTCAGAAGGATCAGACTAATAAAATTCCAAAGGGAAAACACTAAACTGTTTAGTGCTGTGGAGTCCATTCAGCGGTCATTAAAGGCCAACAGTTGGTCAAAAAATCTGTACCCCAGATGTAATCGATCAGCGGAGACGTGTTTGGCATCTGACGTTTGCTTTGTTAGTTTTAAATTAGACCTACGAGGCTGATGTGGCTAAGAAACACTAAAATTCAACAGTCCCCCAAATATTTGGGTGAACAAAACTGAACACCAGGCGTCTAAAATAGCTGACCACAGCGTTCAGCTAGACGAAGTTTTGTTCAAGTTTATAGCTCACAGTGAATCACCCTGTGTCCTAAACCACATCAACAAGTCTGCATTACCTTAATGAAGAGCTGGATGTGGTTTGAGTGGGTGGAGAGATGTATTTTTGGGGATGTGTTTACAGAAAAGATTTGGGTGACTATTAACGCCTAGTGTGTGTTAGCTAAAGTACAGAAGCAAAATTTGGACACCATGCTTGTCTTGGCTGATAGACGATATCTTCTATCTGGAGGAAGTGGAAAAATACGTTTTTTTTTTTTTGTTTTTTTTTGGCAAGGTAGCTGATTTAAACGTCAGAAAATGTGCTGTCTGTGGCTTTAAGATGCTGAATTGGCAATGGACTGCTGGGTGGGAAACTTTGTCCGACCTCTGCTTCCGTCCGTTCAAAGCAGTATGTAAAGTAACTGCATTGTTATTCTATAAAAAAGAGGCACTCCCAGACTTCTCCTCTGCACTTGCCTTCAGGGAAATCCCCTCCTCCACGTTGAAGGGCGTTCAGAGTCTCAAAAGTGTCGAGGAAAATTTCCACAGGCAGCCGTTTCAACCCTTTACAAAACTGTAGATTTCAGGCAGTGCCGTATTTTTCTATGTGTACTATATATAAACTAATACATTGTGTATAAACTAATGTATACTGCATATAAACTGACATATACTGCATATGAACTGACATATACTGCATGCAAACTGACATATACTACATATAAAGCTATATATATTGCATATTAACTGTATAAAAAATGATATATGCTGTATATAGACTGATATTTACTGCGTATATACTGATATGTACTGGATATAGGCTCATGCTGTATATAAATTGATACATGCTGTACATACACTGACATACTGTATATAGACTAATATTTACTGTGTATATGCTGATATGTATTGTATATAGGCACACTTTGTATATAAACTGATACATACACTGATATTCTGTATATAGATTAGCATGTACTATGTATACACTGATTTATACTGTATATAAATGTATATGTTGTATATACACTGATACAGTACTTAAACTACAGACTCTACAGGCAGTGCCCTATCCCAAGAAGCATGTCTGTTGTTCATCACAAAACTTTAGCAAAGAGCTAATGTTAGCTAACCATTTGTGATCATTTAATCGTTGTCCATGTTTTCTGACTACAAATTATTTCAGTAAAATCCAATCAATTATCAAAAATAAATGCTACTATTAGCCAAGGTACAATGTGTACAGTCAAAGTGGCTAATGGCTGTTATCAGGGTTAGTTAGGTTAGCTAACTAAGGTTATAACCTGATAGAGCTGTAAAATTACAGCACCCCCTCACTTCCTTCAACAGTTAGCACTCGTCCTAGATAGTAGGAGAATAGTGGGTCACTGTTGGCCCGCTAACAATAAAGCTGGAGGTCCAATTTACTTAATTTTCCTTCATTTCTTTCTTTCGTTATCCTTTATAAATTAGTTTAGTAAATGATTTTAATCTAGCACAGTGTCAGCAACAACATTTTCAAGATTATTTTATATTAGGCCTAGTCATTTTTTTCTCTCAGTTTGTAATATTTGTCTTATTAGTTTATTTTCCAAAATAAAAGTCTCTTTGCATTTAAAATCTGTTTGAGGAGATTAAAAACTAGTTAAACTTTGTATGCAGGTCAGTAATCTGGGTGGTCTGATCAAGGGCTGCAGTGGGAAACAGTCAGCAGGGTGCCACTTTATCAAGCCAGCAGACCGGTATATGACACAGATACAGAGTTCGGGAGGGTGAAGGGGAAGCCAGCAAATTGGAGAAAAGATTTTTTAACTGTGGTTTTTGTTTAGGTGAAAGAAAAATAAGACAATTGAGTGTTAACATGTTACACAGCAATCAGAACTTATTTCCGGAAGGAAACTACTGGTAGTGCTGCATCCACAGAACAGGATTTTGTACTAATCCTAAGAGTGATTTTAACAAAGATATTGGAAAAAACAGTTTATAGTGATGAAAGATATTTGCACTTTGACAAACTGTGCTCCTAATGACAGTGTTGTTGTTGCCTGTATGCTACTAAAGCTGGTGCAAGTTAGCAAACGTTCTGATTTGGTCCATACGTGTACTACTATGTTATATTCAAATGATTGTGCTTATGTGGTACGTTCATCTACACCACAGCCATTTAGCTAACTGCTGAAAACTCACCAAGCTGCTGCTAATGTTGTGTATTTGTTAGTGATGGGGAGTTAATTCCAAAAGAGTCGATTCTTCGACTCCAGCATTTCTGTTTTTGTTGTGTTTATCAAATCAAATATTTAGAATCGTGTAATTTGTCAGTGTTGACTACTAAAACTATTGTGGTATCTCTACTGTGCAGACAGCTGGGATCCCATACTGTTTAAACAGCACTTTAGTAAAGCCATTTTATTTCACACCTGGCAGTTAGAAATGGTCAGTCTACGTACTTTGTCTGACTTGAATCTCTCTCCCTGCTGTAGTTCGGACTCAGAGGGCCAGTTCGAGACGCCCGAGACGGAGACACCCGTCCATCACCCACTTAATGACCCAGCAGCCCTGGCCCCGCCCACAGGAGACATCACAGGTACAGCAGGCTTATCTAATCTCACTTGTTAAAGCAATAGTTCAGATAAAAATCAAATTTTACATATTTTTCCCCTCAGACCAGATGTAGTTGATCAACTAAAACATGTTTGATGTCTGAAGTTTGCATTTTAGTTTTACCACTGGAGCTATGATGCTCATGTAGCTACAAATAATGAAACTAATAGCTCACAGCATTGTACACATGTTTATGTTGTTCCTGACACTGTATAACATACTCATCATCATCATCATCATCATCGTTAACCGCTTAGTCCAGATAGGGTCGCGGTCGTATAACATAGTTATTTGTAAAAAAATATGGGAAATTGTGGACAAAATTCAGGCTTCAAGATGGCCGCTACAGTTCTTAGCTATGCTAATGTACTTTTGTCCATGTTTATAGATAACAGTGAGTCATACAGTGTCAGAACATAAGTGTCAGTCTATAAGGCTGTTTTCAGACTGCAGGCTAAACCAATGTTTTTTTCTTGAATCAGATCTTTCGAGGCGACTGTCCGCTCTGTTATTTGAAGTGATTAGATTGGATTTGTTTGTCCAGGCATCACCAACCTACCTGCATGGGTTGCCATGGTAATGATGTAGGCGTCAGTAATTATGTAGCTATGCTGGTGATGCGGATTTCAAACACAGATGCAGGAGAGACGGAGGAGCATCATCTCGCCCTCCAAACTCTTCAGAATTCTCTTCATCAGCATGAATCTTTGGAACTTGAATCCCAGCACTTCTTTACTCTGAATTTGACATCGTTGTTGTTTGTTGCGTTGCAAGTGACACAAAAGACACTTTGAAATCTGATTCAGTCCAGAGCGTCCAGACTGAGACGCATCTGTAAAAATCTGGTTGGGTTTACCTCTCAAACCATCTCCAAATATGGTTTGGATCCAGTTTGCAAAAATTTGATTTCATGTGTTTTGCGCTGTCTAGACTATCAAAAATCTATTTTTGGGCTGGAAGTCTGTATATAGCCTTAAAGATTACTTAACAACTCCACACAGCTTTATAAGACTGTTTCCTTTCTTCTTAGCCTCATAGCTTCAGTGCTAAAACTAAAGAAGCCAAGCATGTCTCAGCTGATTGACTACATTTTAGGTAATACAGGAAACTGTGTGAAGATTTTCCACCCAGCTGTCACTTTAATGCTGGTGGACTGGACAGACAGGAGCAGATGAAAGAGACTCTCTGAGGCACCTGTAACTGCATGTGCTTCAGTATTTTTATACCCTACACTGTTGCTATGGCAACTAGAAGGGATGAAAAAGGCTGTCGTCTCTCGTAAACAGCCTCACTGTTATTGTGCGTGTGTATGCGTGTTTTGACATGACTGAAGTGACCTTTATAGAGAAACACATTAACACTTTAATGTCTGTACAGGCTGTATATGGGTTCAGTCCTCAGTCTGTCAGTACAGAACTTAGAGAGTTTCACTGTAGATAATAATTCATAGTAGATACTGAATAATTCATAGTAAATACTAAACAATTCATGTTAGATACTGAACAATTCATAGTAGATACTGTATCATTTATGGTAGATACTGAATAATTCATAGTAGATACTAAACAATTAATAATAGGTACCGAATCATTTATATTAGATACCGAATACTTTATAGTAAATACTGAACAATTCGTAGTAGATACTGAATAATTAATAGTAAATACTAATAATTCATAGTAAATTCTGAATATTTCATAGTAGTTATTGGTTAATTTATAATATGTACTAAATATTTTATAGTAAATACAGAATGTTTTTCAGTGGTTACTGATTAGCTTATTTAGTGAATAATTCATAGTAAAAGCTGAATATTTCATAGTAGTTACTGGTTAATTTATAATATGTACTGAGAAATATGTAGTAAATACTGAATAGTTCATAGTAGGTATATGAAATACTTAGTTCAAGACTGGACTCAGTTTTTCATTTGTATATTGGATTTTCCCTCATTGGTTATGTAATCTGTATGTGGAAATAATGGCATTGTGTTGGCCTTTTTGTCCCAGTCTGTGTTGAGCACAGCTGATAGAGCCCTTCTTTTTCTTCATGTTGTGGTTGTGAATGATACTGAATATTCCTGCCTGCTGAGATGAACATGGACTACATTTTTTTTCTCTTGTATTTCAATATATTAAAATAATATTGTAGTTACAGTATCTAGCAGTATAACTTCAGTATGGTATTTTGTTCCCCTCTCTCTCTCTTTCTCTCTCTCTCTCTCTCTCTCTCTGTCTGACACGTGGCCAGGTTGGTGGAAGTGTGTGGTGGTGTAATTGGAGGCAGATGGGCTGTGTTGCTGTATTGTTGGGCTGTTTATCTTGCTGTTAAAGGCTTGTAAAAGTGTATGAGTGCTACCTCACAGCAGCAGCACGTTTGCACACAGAGACTAGAAACACAGAGCAGACGCAGTTCAGACTCGCACTGCTAAAGCTGATATCAGTACATCATACAGTGTCTGAAAGCACATGATCAGGTCTATTAGAGATACTGAACTGCTCCACACGCTGTGAGTGAGGTGATGCTAATTGGTAGCTATAAGCTTCTATTACTTGTTAGCTTCTTTAGCCTCGTAGCTCCAGTGCTTAAACTAAAGAAGCATAAAAGAGAAAACTTTGCAAATTTGTTTCCATTTAAAATATCCCTTTAGCTCAGTGTGGGAATCATCAGCTCAGGGCGGTTAGCAGAGCGCTGACTGACTGGGTATAAACCTCCATTACCTGTTAGCTACATTAGCCTCGTAGCTTCTGTATGAACTGCATGAAATGGACAAATACTAAATTGTGATTATATTGCTGCACAAGGTGTTTTGCCATCTGTCTGTCTGTCTGTCTATCTATCTATCTATCTATCTATCTATCTATCTATCAGTCTGTCTCTATCAGTCTGCCTGTCTGTCTGTCGATCTATCTGTCTGTCTAAAATATTCAGTTATTGATCTTCTGTAACATCAGTATTGCAAACGCTAATATCACAAAAATCACAGTGATGATTAACAAACAGTGAACTGTGCAGCTCTATATATTAAAACAGTGTGCAGAGTTAGGGTTAACAGTGGAGTGGAAGAGCGAGGGGGATGGGAGGAGAGATGGGGTGGATGGGTGCGTTTATATGGGCCTCAGGGTGAGCGTGTGGGAAAAGCCTTGAGTTTGGAATCAGTAGCTCAGTCTGGAACAAAGGCTTCTGCTCTTCTCTCAGCTGAGTTATCAATGGCCGAGGCCAAAGGCCTGCAGAGAGCCGTGTCATGTGATCAGGACTTTCACACACTCATTCTTATACACACACACACACACATATGAATGGGGTTTTATATCTATGCTTCAGTACTCTCTTACCTCCAATCTTTTTCTTTTATCCCAAACCAAAACTGTGTTGCTTATGTTGCGTCTAGATCAAGCAACTTCTAAGACTGAACTTTGGAGGTCTGTCTGCAGATTTCTTTGAGAAACTGAAAGTGGGTCTCCTGAAAAGAATAGAAGCTGTAATAAAGGTAAAGAGTGACTCACTGAACACTCAAACAGCTGAGGTTAGATTTAGACTATTTCCTTCCTTAAACAAGTGGATTATCTTATATAATCGATTCAGAAACATCTCCTATAAAACGAATAACTTATACTTCACTGCTGTTTTGACTGGAAATCAAATCAATACAAGATGCTCTGTCAAAAAAAAGACAAATTTCAAAAGAAGGCAGTGAGTTTTAGTTGATGGTGAATGTTTATGTCTGTGGTTCAGGGCTGTTCTTCTTTCAGTCCTCTGATGACTGTAGTTTCTAGTGTTCTTACACTAAATAACTGTGTTTAAAGTTTCTTTAACTGTCATTTCCTTCTGGAATTAGAAGTGTCTGTTAGTTTCAGCAGACTGCAGTAGTCGTAGTCTGTGTTCAGTGCAGACAGAGTGTACACGTGTCACGGTTTAAGTTACAGACAGAGCACATCTGTGTATGTGTGTGTGTGTGTGTGTCTCCAGCTACATTTATTTTCTGTTATAGTTGTGTAAAAGGATTATGTGTTGGTTATTTTGTTTGTGTTGGCTCCAATACAGACAAAAGTATGGGCAAATGCATAGACTGTGCTAGCTCTGTTAGACTGTGCTGGCTCTGCTAGGCTGTGCTTACTCTGTTAGGCTCTGTTAGCTTTGTGGGCTGTGTTAGCTCTATTAGACTGTGCTGGCTCTGTTAGGCTGTGTTAGACTTTGTTAGCTATGTTAGGCTGTGTTAGCTCTGTTAGGCTGTGTTAGACTGTGTTAGCTCTGTTAGGCTGTGCTAGCTCTGTTTGGCTGTGTTAGCTCTCTTAGGCTGTGTTAGGCTGTGTTAGCTCTGTTAGGCTGTGTTAGACTGTGTTAGCTCTGTTAGGCTGTGCTAGCTCTGTTTGGCTGTGTTAGCTCTGTTAGGCTGTGTTAGCTCTGTTAGGCTGTGTTAGGCTGTGTTAGCTCTGTTAGGCTGTGTTTGCTCTGTCAGGCTGTGTTAGCTCTGTAAGGCTGTGTTTGCTCTGTTAGGCTGTGTTAGGCTGTGTGAACTCTGTTAGGCTGTATTAGGCTGTGTTAGCTCTGTAAGGCTGTGTTTGCTCTGTTAGGCTGTGTTAGCTCTGTCAGGCTGTGTTTGCTCTGTTAGGCTGTGTTAGCTCTGTCAGGCTGTGGTGTGTTGTGGAAAATGTCTTCCTTCAGTCCTTTAGAGCTAGTGAAGAGGATCAGCTCCCTACAGAGCAACCCTGCTGTCACACAGCGGCACATCACACTGAACTCCAAAATAAGCTCCATTCATGCAGATAATCTTTCTGTACTTTTAGTATTTGAATACTTTTAAAGGAGGAATAAAGTACCCTGAGGCCCATCTAACCCCCCGCCAGGCCACATCTGGAACTATCTAAACCCCCCCATCCCCCATCTTTATTTTTACCAGGGTGTTGTTTGACAGAGAGACTTTTAATGAAGTAAAATTTTGAGAGATAATTCTCATTTTTAAAGACGTGTGTTCTATGGCATTGTGATCCACAGTTATACTTGAACATTTCCCACAGAGGCAGCGTGAGGGTGAGGCCTGAGATGTTTTGGGTTTTGGGTGGTTCAGAGGCTGTGGGGCGTTGGTCTCTGGGAGTGAGGAGGCTCAGTGCTGACCACAGAGAGTGAGGGAGGGAGAAGGAATGAGTGGAGGGTTATATATAGGGAGAGAATTCCTTGTTGTTGACTAATAATCTTGTAATGACTTATTTTCTGTTGTTCTGTTTCTGTTTTTCCAGTTACACAACTTTAAACTTGAAAAATTTTAGATCACAGCAGGAAAATGGTCAGCTTGATGTTATAAACTAAATGACTGATGTTTAATGAGCTTTAACCGTATCAAAGTTTTAGAGAATATTAGTTTAATGATGCATACTAGCTTGACTTTCTGATTATCCAGAAATAAAAGCTTTAATTACATGAACAGTGACTTAGTAAGAACGCATTTCAGTTAGACTTTGCAGGGAACTCCCACATACAGCCAACCGAAGCTGGAGGATGTGTTCATGTCCGAGTTAAATATTAACTGAATGTCTTCACGGTAGAGTAGAGGGACAGGTTGTGTTTATTTAGAGCGAACTGATGATTTTAATATGGGGTTATATTTAATATATATAATATGGAGTTATTGATAGGAATCAAAAGAAGAACACAGAGTCAATGTGTAAGTAAGAGTTGTGCAGGGTATTATGTTATGATATATAATAAAAGTGCTCTGGAAAATGCTTCATTCACTCTAGTTACTGCTTCATGACGTATTAATCAGCCCGCAGTTCCATTCCATTAGACCGAGGAGAGAACAGAAGGGCTGTTGACCTGAGAAGATTGAGGAACTGAAAAGTTTGGTGAATCTGCTGTGAAAGTGGAACACTGTTAAGATTGAAGTTCCTGTTTTTTTTTAACTGACAAATGTGTTAGAAGAGAATGAACTTCAAAAAATAAAAACTTACGTTTCAAAATAAGAGTTTGATGTGGTGTCTAAACACTGTTAAAATCTCAAAATTTACTCTTCGTTCCCCAGGACATGTGGACACTAAACTGCAAAAACAGCCCATGTTGAATCTGTTGTTTTTGTGATCTCATGACAACCAACACATTCAACAAATAACCACTTTGTTCAGCCTACAGCAGTTTAGCCCCGCCCACACACAGAGGAGTTATAAGTAGTGTTTCAGTCCAGATTGTTTTTTGAATGAGGTACAATCAGTTACATAGATCAGTCTTAAAGGATTTTGGAAACTTAAACTACACAGTTGTCATAAGTAAATAGAAATATACTATATGGGTCCTTTAAACTCATGTTTGTTGGTGCACAGTATTATATCAAAAGCCTTCAATAAGTCCTAAGCTGACAACTCCCTAATTTAATATAAAGATATAGTTCAAATAGAATAATATTCCCCCAGTCTACTAGAGCCTATTACAGATTACTGAACACATGCACATGCTTTGAGGCAGCGATTTAGGCATTCAGTTAGCACCATGCTAATTGGTGGGATGTAAGCTTCCATTACTGGCTAGCTACATTAACCTTGTAGCTGCAGTGCTAACATTAAAGAAGCAAACTTTATTGTTCTCTATGAGCATGGACTAAAATACAGTAGCGTCTAAAAGATACAGTGTGGATTTAAAGATGTTTTATTCAATATTTCAACAATCCTGCAAACAAGAAGTAAATAAAATTACTAAATAAGTAAAAAAGTATTAAATAATATACTGTTATAATATACAATGTATAATATATGTACATGCATACATACATACATAGATACATTTGTACATGGTATAAATATGCTGTTATATATAATGATTTTCTTTTGTTATCCTTGAGTCGTGAGATTTGACCCCAGCTTTTGAAATATAATATTCTATCTATGTAGTGATTTTATTAGAGCCTCATTCTCAATGTTCTACAGCTTTCTCAGTCATTTTAGAATCTAGTTCATCACTCTGGACATGTCAAACATGGCTACATATTTATTTACAGCTTCCTACTGATTATCTGAAAACTGTTGGACAAGATGAGCAGATTACAGTCACGTTGCACATTTTTTCTGCAGCCAAACTTGTTGTATGTTATAGAAAATAGCAATACATAAGCATAGCTAAAAACAGCCTGAATTTATCCCATATTTATAAATTGTTATAAACAGTGTGTTGTACACTGCCATGAATCCCAGTCAAGTCTGTTTGACATAAACACAAGTAATAACACTTTAACACAGCTAAATAATTCCATTTAGAGAAATGATCCCAAAAGCAGCGGAAAGATTTCATAAATGTTTTGACGAGGCTGTAACCGCCAATCAAACCAGCACTCCAGTGAGTGAGTCACTATAGTGCGCTTATAAATAGAGCCCGTCTTCAGCAGTAACCTAGCAACAAGCTGTTGCATCAGAACTCAGAGAAAGCCTCAGGAGCCGCTTCTTTAACAGGAAGTGAGGTTTACTGTTTGTTTACCGTAGCTGAATCTGTTTACTGAAGCTGAGTCTGTTTAGGCTCTTTTCCTCTTTAAGGCCAGCTGCAGCCTCAGCTCTGCTGATGAGTTTTCAGCGGCTGACCCACAGCGTCTGACCGGTGAAGAAAGGAGGCCGTTGTTGGACATCCTGAGTGATGCATTTCCTCCCCTGGGTGATGCGTTTCCTCTCCTTTCCCACAAAGGAAGCGTGTTCTTAAATCCCCTTTACAGCTCTAACAATGAGGTGGTGAAAAATATCCTCTAAGAACACTTAAACCGCCAGAACCCAAACAATACAGCCAGTACAATAGCTATTGTAGTCTGTGTTTGACACTTCTGATTTGTCTGTTTGTTTGCTTATTTACTTATTATGGTGTTCAATGGTTACCTATTACTAGGGCTGAGCAATATGATGATATATATCACTGTTGTGATAAATTATGTCACAATACAATACAGTATGCTTTTCTGAGTCCTGCCAGATATTGATTAAAAATGACTATGTTCACAGTTTTTGGTAGTATTTTTTAAAATGTTTAGTTTTTCTCTGTTCCAATTGATCAGATGTCTGAAAAAATAAATCGTGACATATTGTGTATCATGAATTTTTTCTGAAAAATTACAGTATTTTTTTGCCATATTGCCCACCTTTACCTATTACCAAATTCCTTATAGGAAAGTCTGTTCACTTAGCGGCCATCTTTGCAGCACCGCCGGACAGTTATTTACAGCCATACAAGTCCAGACTCCTCTCTCTCTGAATGAGAAGTGCCCATAATACTCAAAACTGATGGTCAAATAACCATTTAAAAAACAGGTCTGAAATCACTGATAAAATTTGACAAAATTCTTTTAAACAGTTTGTAGGATTTGGCTCAGTGACACACAAAAAATTGTGATTTTTCAGGTTGTTCTGGCTACTGTGCTTGTGCAAATCTCCACAACAAGGAGGGCTTTCCCGATCTATGGCAGAACCAACAAGCCGATTTTATTGAAGGGCAGGACTTTCTGCACAAACTGACGCCATGTTGAGCATTAAGAGCTTTTTCCATTCATGTTTCAACCACTGATCATCTCCTCATTTATAACATCTCTGCTGTTACATGCCATGTTCAGTACAAGGTTCTTATTACATAAGAAGTTCTGCACAGTCTGGCTCCTCGTTACCTGCTTGAGCTTCTGAAAACAAATTACATGCAATAAAAATAAACTTTACCTCTTACAGAGGAAAACGGTTCCGTTAGCTAACGATAGCGTTTCACTGGCTAACTTGTTTGGCTTGTGTTGTCACTGCACTCTGGACGTTAAAAGAGCACAGGCTGCAGGGCATTGGGGGTGGGTTTAGAGGGGCATACTCTAGTTAGCGGCAGACTTTGCCGCATTCCAGCACCAAAAGTTTAACAGCTTGTCCCCAGATGTATATTCTCGTTACGCGACCACATCTGGCCCTGCGAACCTAACCTCATCAAGGGTCTCTATGGAACATTCTGGCTCCGCCCCTCATTGCCTCCTAATTAATTTAACCAGCGTGTAAGTACGAACCTTTAAACATTTTTTCCCCACTGACTATAAATAAACAACAAACAAAAGAGAGACTGTGTGATGCACGGTCAGTTAGGAGACTGTATTATTATCTTCACTTTTATGTTCACTATTTGTTTGAAGGAGTTAGCCAGCCTGCTAAACTGCTATGTTAGCTCTTTGACTAACTGCATCTGCACACAAGTTACCCCACTGTCACCAACTACAGCAGTTATCTGCGCTTTTCTGCTACAGATCTGTATGCAGCATTATACTACCACAATATCTGATAAATTAAGTGTTGTTTCTGTTTGTTGTATTTCACAGCATGTATATACGTCATCAGTGTCTGTTTATCTTTCCTCAGGTTTAGAGGAAGACAGTGAGGACCAGCGACTTTCCATTGCTGAGGAAGCCGAGCAGATCTCCGTCCAGCTTGAAGCGGACCACCAACATGAGGCTTTATCTCTGCAAGACCACAGGCTGACCCCACAGCAAACCAATGACCCCCATGTTAAACCCTCCAGCATGACCACTGAGCCGGCTGAGGGTCCAGAACAGCATTCCCAGCCTGTGTGTAACGGCCACCTTCCGGAACATTCCCAAACTTCAGTTCCCAAACCACGGCCTCCGTCTCTGAAGATGAAATCTCCGCTGAATGCCGTTGACCCGAACGAGGTGGACGATGAGCCTCCTCCAGTGCCAAAGGGCAGCTACAGTTTCGACCCAGATCAATATGATGCTAACTTCAATCCATTTGCTAGCGGCGGATCCAAGCTGCAGAATTCCCCAACCCTACCAAAGGGCACGTATAGCTTTGATCCAGACAGCTTTGACGACTCCTTGGATCCTTTCAAGCCGTCAAAGTCTTTCAGCAATGACTCCGCTGATTCCCAGCCTGCATCCTCCAGCGTCCCAAAAACACAACTTCCAGACCCTGAATCCAATTACCAGGCAGATGCTGGGGAGGAAAATGCTGGACCCAAGAAAATTCCAGCACAGAAGCAAGGAAAAAGGCCTAGCGCTAAAGTCACGCCTAAAAAACAGCGAGCTAAACCTGCACCACAACAGCCAGAAGCTACAGAACAGTCCTCCAAGCCAGGATGTGACTCAGAAGCTCCTTTGAACGTTGACGATATCCCTATTCCCAAAAAATCATACAACTTCGACCCCAGCCAATGGGACGACCCCAATTTCAACCCGTTTGGAGGAACTAGCAAACTTAGCAGCTCCCTAACTCCTGCTAAAGCAGTGTATACATTCGATCCAGACAACTTTGACGACTCCATTGATCCTTTTAAGTCGACTAAAGTTTTTGGAGCAGGCGGTGACTCGGCAAAGGCAGAAACTGAGAAAAATTTGGATATACACGATGAACAAACAAGCCAAGAGTGCCCTCTGGTGGAGGAGAGGAAAGTGCGCCAGTCGCCCAAGAAAAACAAGGACAGGATCATCACGTGAGTGCGCTGTTTAGAGCCGTGCGTGGCCGGCATGCTGTTTGTGTTTATGTGTCTGTGAGTTCTTGCTGTGCGCTAATTCTGTCTGAGAGGGACTTAAAACTAATAGCAGGTCTTAAAGTGATAGTTCAGCCAAAAGTTTTATTTGCCTAGTCTCTCCACTTATCCCAAATGTAGTTCTTGATCAGTCAAGACATGTTTGATGTGTGAAGTTGTTTAGTTTTAGCACTGGAGCTACGAGACTAATGTAGTAATGGAAACTCATACCCCACCAGTTAACATGGTGCTAACTTTATGACTGAATTATCTCACACTGAAGTATCTCTAATAGACTTGATTGTGATTTCTGACACTGTATGACTCACCGGGTGTGTTTACATGCACTTAATACTCTGGTAACTGCAGAAAATCAGATTTTAACAGTAATCTGATCAACATGTTTACATGCACCTCAGTAATCAGATAATGGAAAAACTCCGGGCCTACATGAGTCAGGCAGTAATCAGATTTCTGCTTTGCAAACAGCCAGTAAACTCATAAAAGAAGACGTGATGTAAATGTAACGTAAAACTCCTTTTTTACATAAACGTAAAAACCTAAACATATATAACAAACATCATCTAGAAGATGAATAATATTTAAATCCTTAATTTTGTCAAGCATGTAATCAGTTTCAGTGTGGCTCCAGAAGTGTTTTGTTGCGTCTTGCCACAATGCTGCTGCTTATTTTCTGTACTCGGTCTGTTTTCAAACATACGGAGACTGAGAAATCCGAGAGCACTAATATATAAAAAGCTCTGTTCTGATTGGCTGGCCTGTATTGTGTCTTCTTCAAAGAGCAGGCTGGGCTGAAACACTCCTTACTCTGAGTAAGGGTGGGGCTAAACTGCTGTAGCCTGAATAGATGGATATATTTAAATGTATTGGCTTTCATGACATCACAAAAACAGAAAACAGCTGTTTTTGCAGTTTAGTATATTTGGAAAGTTTTACATACAGCACCAAACTCGTTTTCAAACAAAGTGCTGGTCTTCACTGCTTGAGTGTTTGTATCCAAGGAAAGTAATGAAAAGCAGCAAACAAGACCATTCTGCAAACCTGCACGCAGAAAGGTGATGTATGGATTTGCGCAATTGATCCATTGTACAGATGGAATTGTGTGAAAGCATAATTCCCCCTGCCCCAAATGAGCCCAGAATCGGTCCTGGGTGCGGACTCAGGTATTTGGGACAAGTGTGAAAACACCCTAATTCTAAAAAAGCAAAGAAATGTTGGTTTCCCATCAGCCCTTTAAAGAATTCTATCAGAAAGTATGAATACAGTGATTTAAATTGTGGACTAAATTAGACAGGGCTAATTATGTACTTATTTATACCATGTTGCTAACTGCATTCCTCAGTCATCACACACTTATGCATATGCATGGACTAATAAGTGGACAAGGTTTGAGTGTGATGATTTAACAATGCAGTTGGCACCATGCTAATTGGCGTACATAAACTTCCATTACTTGTTAGCTACATTAGCCTTGTTGCTGCAGTGCTAAAGCTAAAGAAGCAAACTTCAGACACCAAACGTGTCTCACGTGATCTACCGTAATTGGTTTAAGGATGGTTTAATGTATAACTGTGCATTAGGTTTTTGGCCGAACTCTTGCTTTACTGTGCGTTGAGCTGAGACTGGCCTGTTCTGGTCAGTGGTGAACGGTCAGTAGGTTCTTCTGCTGGGCTTTGTTTCTGTGTCTGTGCTGTTCTGTGTTCTGCAGTGTCCCAGTTCTCTTCAGTGTTACTGTCCTGTGCGTGTCTGAAGCCCGGCTGCTGCGGCCTCTCTCTGAACTAATCCCACTCAGCTCACTCTGCTCTTCTTTTTCTCTCCTCCTCCCTCCACTCGTCCGATTTTTAACGCTCCATCCCTCTCTCCATGTCCTCCCCTCTGTCTGCCCGTTTACTGTTACCATCAGGACCACTGAGCAAGTGCGGTTTCTCTGTTTGCTCCTGTAAGTATCTTCTCTTCTCTTCTCTTCTCTTCTCTTCTCTTCTCTTCACTCGTCTTCTCTATTCTCACTTCCACACTCTTCTCTTCTCTTCTCTTCTCTTCTCTTCTCTTCTCTTCTCCTCTTCTCTTCCCTCCTGTCTTCTTTTCTCTTCTCCTTTATTCTCCTCTTTACTCTTGTCTTCTCTATTCTTGTCACTTGTCTTCTTTTCTCTTCTTCACTCTTCTCTTATTCACTCTGCTCTTCTCTTCTCTGCTCTTCTTTTCTTCTCCTCTCTCTTTTTCTCTTCTTTTCTCTCTCTTCTTCTATTCTCTTCTCTTCTTTTCTCACCTCTTCTCAATTCCTTTATTCTCCCCACTTCTTATTTCTCGTCTCTTCCTTTCTTTTCTCTTCACCTCTCTCTTCTTATCCTCTCTTCTATTCTCTTCTCTCCTCTGCTCTCTATTCTCTTCTCTCTTCTTCTATTCTCTTCTCTTTTCTTCTCACTTCTTCTCTCTTCTCCTCTCTTCTATTCTCTCTTCTCTTCTCTTCTCTTCTCTTCTCTTCTCTTCTCTTCTCTTCTCTTGTTCTGCTTGTTCCTGCTTTTACCCTTTGTGTTCCACTGCATGCTGTGCTGTTGCATGTATCTGTAAATATAGGCCATGTCCGACTTCCTCTCTAATTTTTTTTGTGTCTAATTAGTAGGTATTGATTAGTCTGATAAGTATTGATTGGGCAGTAGACTAAGTGTCCTGCAGGCTGTTATAGATTTTTGTACAGTATTAAATTCTTTGAGGGTCACTAATTTACCCCCCTGCTGTAAGTGTCCCAGCACTGCATCTCTGACCTTACAAAGAAGTCCATATTGCAGCATTACTTATTAAAACGTTACTTATTATCTCCAACAAACATGCTAACATGGCTAACAAAGCTAGGAGACGCTAATTACCGTGGCAGCACGATGTCACGACTCAGTACATCACTGTGCTTTATAGTATCACAGCTACAGCGTGGTCAATGTCAATGTGTAGCAAACAGTCAGCAGCGTTTAGACGCTGTAGAAGATGACAAGATTTACTGGCCTTTCGCAGCTTCTGCCATCTACAGGCATTAAGGAGGTACTACATCCACACTGACTTAACTGTAGCAGTGGGTGTGAATAGTCAGTAAACACTGATGCTGATATGTTGTTTTTCTACACAGATTATCAGTGCAGAATTGCGCTGATTGAAAAATAGAACTGCAGTTGAGTGATTTATCATTATATGGGCACAGCTCTGCTCTTCTTTTCTCCAGAGCTGTCTGGAAGGAAGCTAGTTTCATTCTGCTGAGTCATTGTGCTAAAATGACCTGATACTGAGGTCAAGTACCTGCATCCAGACACTGACTCTCTGTCTCTCTATCCCTCTGTCTATCTATCTATCTATCTATCTATCTATCTATCTATCTATCTATCTATCTGTCTATCTATCTGTCTGTCTGTCTATCTGTCTATCTGTCTGTCTGCAGGAACTCCTGTAAAGTGAAGAAATATGAGAATAAGTCTTTAGTGCTGGACGTCTGCAATCAGGTAAGACTCATTTTTTATGCAGAGAGAGGGAGAGAAGGAAGAGATGCTCTGTATTGTTCTGTGGGTATTGATCCCCATACAGCTATAAAACCTCCCACTGCTGACTCACTCACTGTGATATTACTGCAGTGACTCAGCAATGTTCTCTCTCTCTTCTCTCTCTCTCTCTTTGCTGTTTTTCTCTCTCCCTCATTCCACAATCTCATTCCTGCCTCTCTTTCCTTCCTTTCTCTCTCTCTCTCTCTTTTCTCTCTCTCTCTCTCACTCTCTCTCTCACTCTCTCTCTCACTCTTTCTCTCTTTCTCTGCTGTTTTTCTCTCCCTCTCATTCCTCTATCTCACTCCTGTCTCTCTCTCTCTCTCTCTCTCTCTCTCTCTCTCTCTCTCTCTCTCTCCGTCTTTCTCTCCCACCTTTCTCTCTCTCGCTCACTTGCTCACTCTATCTCTCTCTCCTTCCTCTCTCTGCTGTTTTTCTCTATGCTGATTTTCTCTTTCTTTCTCTCTCTCTCCTCTTCCTTCCTCTGTCTTTGCTATCTTTCTCTGTCTGTCTGTCTTTCTCTCTCTCTCTCTCTTTCTCCCTACAGTCTTTCTCTTTCTCTCTCGCGCTCCGCTATCAATTCAGTTCAATGACTATGAAGTACAGTATTGCTAAAGCGTCAGATCAGTGGTAGTGAACAATGAAAACAATAATGAAAACAAAATATAACAAAACAACACAATAATAAGCATTTTCATTATTAGAATTACAATGTTGCGATGTTACTATCATGGTAATTATACTAATTATTAAACAAATGATATTTAACATAAATAGGTTGAGTAATGTTAGCGGTCAGTAGAGTGAGGGTCAGTAGAGTGGGTGTACGGAGGGTGGGGGTCAGTAGAGTGAGGGTACGGAGGGTGGGTTCAGTAGAGTGGGGGTACGGAGGGTGGGGGTCAGTAGAGTGGAGGTACGGAGGGTGGGGGTCCGTAGGCTGGGCGTAAGTGGGGGGTGGTAACCCACCGTCTCTCAGGTGGTGACATGTTATGTTTAGCAGCGAGGGGGCTGAGTGCCCAAAAAGAATTAGTAATTGCTCTAATTGAGTACATTTTTCAAAATTTGGGATTAGTTGGTTGAACTCTCTCGTGTTGGTCTGAATTTTTCACAGTAAAGAAGAAAGTGCATTTCTGTCTTGACCTCTTTCTCTCTCTTGTTATTCTCTTTCTCTCTGCTGTTTCTCTCTATCGCTGTCGTCTTTCTTTTTCTCTTGCTCTCTTTCTCTTTGCTGTCCTTCTGTCTTTCTCTCTGCTCTTTCTCTCTCTCTCTCACTCCTGACTTTGTAAAAGATTTGAACAAAAGCAACATGTCACAATTTTGTAACTGAGCAAACAAAAACATTTCTTTTTTGGTTACTGAGGTTAAGATTAGGATTTGGCCTAGCCAAATGGGCCATATTATTATTATTATTATTATTATTATTATTACATATAGATATTTACATATATACATAATTTATATGTGCAGGGTGAGGAGGTGCAGGAGGAGTCTGTTACTCCGTTGGATCTCCCTGTACGACACGCCACTGATGAGGAGAAGCTGGCCTCCACAGGAATGGTGCAGAAAGACCCGACAGACACGAAAACCACAGATGGTGAGAACATAAATAAACTCCAGTGAACCTGTAAACATTCACATTAAAACACTGTATGTGTATTGTAACTGTAATTCCGAATGCAGTTTAATTCAAATAATCATTTTTCCTTCAGTAGTTTGCTATAACTGACCTTATTAAAGGGAAATTCCACCGAATTTTCTAAATTCCTCCATAAGTGAGTGTGTGAGATGTAAACAGAGTGATTCAGAGTGATTTGGTGTGAAATAGTTCAGATTTCTTTACAGTGGTGGTGATACCAGGGGTTACCATGACTACAACACAAATATAGACATTTGTTTACTATCCAAAACCACCAGTGAACCTACACATGTCTTCTGAGTTTTATGTGGAATGTTGACGATGGGAAAATAATAGAAAATCTGAAATCATAAGTTTTCTTTGGGGACTATTTTGCCTCACAACACCCTGCATGTATCCCTCCACAATGAATTGAATTTTAAGACCAAAATCTTCTTAAAACTACTGTAAAACAGTGTCTTTCAAGCAGTGTATTCATAACCATTTCATATAATAACTTTCTATGAGGGAGCTTTTAGAGGTGGACATCTGGTTCCTATTACTACTTTGTTTATATCTTAAACAATATCACACGTGTAAATATTTGTATATTAGTGACAGTGCTACATTGGGAGTAAAGCCAAAAGGCCATGCCCACACTCTCCCATTGTTGTGATGCAAGCACTCAAACCTTTTAGGTGTTCAAAGCACCTTTAGACCAAAAGTGTTTCAATATGAATGTGTAATAGCAACAATTTGGAAAGGAAAACTGTCTAATCATTAGTTAGATGAAAACTTCATAATAAGAATGTATTTTGATGATCAATGTGTTGATTTATGTTAAACTCTTACTTTATTGAGAAAAGACTTCTCCAAACATTTCGCCTTTGTGTCCTCACATGAACATAAAGGATGGGAATCAAAGGGCTCTGTTGATTCTCCAGCTCTGCTTTTTCAGCGCTCATAAACAGAAGGTTCCGGCTGAAACAGTGACCATATTGAGCCGGTCAGTCTGTTAATGAGGCCTGGCTGGTCCAGCTCTGGTAGAAAAGCTCTTTTAGAAAAGCATTCTGCTTCAGTGTCCAAACACAGAGCAGCTTCTCTGCTCAGAACACTCAGCCTCTGTGTGCACAGGGCACGCGGGGCCTGTTTAGGCATTAATGTGCCTAATAAACAAAGACAAACTCCAGACAATTTAATTGGTCCACTGTATTTTGAATGGGAGACACCATAAAGAGCTCGCAGGACCACCAGAGAGTATTGTAGGGACGCATGATATAGACAAAATACTAGCACTGTGATTATACTGCAGCATATTGAGATTGTATACGCCATGCAATAAATTAAAACACACTGGTGAATCAATACTGTGACCTAATTAATGACTGTTCCTGCATTATTTTAACTAAAATATTTGTTAGTGTGCCTAATAAACAAAAGGGTTTTCAGCACAGTAGTGATATTACCTATTCTGAGTGACTGAGTAATTACTGAGACACCAACAAAGGTTTCGCCGAAGGCACTTTTAGTGGATTATATCAATTAGTATGAGTGACAGCAGGCATCACTTCTGTTTCATCAGCTCTTAACAACTTGCTTTGTTTCTCGAAATAATGTCATGTTGAGCATTAATAATATTTTATGCTGCCTGGCCACTTTTTTTGAGAAACATGTACTTTGTACTTCTACTCACTGGCCACTTTATTAGAAACACCTGCATTGTACTTCCACTCACAGGCCACTTTATTAGAAACACCCACCTTGTACCTTCACTAACTGGCCGCTTTATTAGAAACACATACCTGTTCTTTCACAAACTGGCCACTTTATTAGAAACACCTGCGTTGTGCGTCTGTCTACAAGATGAAACTCCAAAGGGGTTTCTGATAAAGTGGTCAGTGAGTGAATGTATGTGTATTAAAGCTTTACTGCCCTCTAGTGGCCATTTAGAGATTTGCACTCAGTATGAGCTGCTTGTCAGGTTGATTTGTATCTAAAGATGTTGAGAGTCTAATTTAAACCCACTTCCTCAGTGTTCAGTTAGTGTCTGCAGTGTGTTGTAACTTAATAATAAAACTGAATGTAATGCCGGTGTTCTTCTGTTCTCAGACCTACAGATGGGCAAAACGGACCACTTCAGTGAGAAGGAAGTCTGCACACCTGTGAGTGGTATTTTTTTTTACTTACTTACCCACCTATTTGTTTATTTAATTGGGACAGTTACACATGTGTAGAAAAGTGCACTCTTAAAAAAGATGGTCTCTAAGGGTTCTTTAGTAAAGAAAATGGTTCCATATAAAACCATGAACACAAAAACAACCCTTTGCATGATTAAAGGGTTCTTTGCATCATCAAATTTTTCTTTAGACTGATGGAGAATGTCTTGTGTGTGGTTCTCTGTAGAACCTTTTTAAAAAGGGTTCTTTCCAGCACCAAAAAGGGTTCTTCTATTGTTACGATGTAAGGCTTGCAAAAATAGAAGAACCCTTTTTGGTGCAATATAGAACCCTTTTCAAAAAGGTTCTATACAAAACCATCTACGACACATTCACCATCAATCTGAAAGAACCATTTCACCATGCAAAGAACCCTTTAATCATGCAAAGGGTTCTTTTAGTGTTCTTGGTTCTATATAGAACCATTTCCTTTGCTAAAGAACCCTTTAAAAACATCTCTTTTAAATACAACACAAAATGTGGCCTGTGCAAAATGTTGTATGTTTATCCTAATATGTTAAACAGAAATTGCAGAAAAATGTTATATTTTACTGTGTCTCTGTTGAGGATGTGTTCACTTATTTTCACTTAGAAAACCAACAACATTATGTAATGTGGGACCGGGGGTGTTTAAACTTTTGCATGCAACTGTTACAACCGTTTTGCAGTCTCTAGATGGGCCATCAATAAAAAGTTTTAAAAGACAATTTACACCTGATTAACTCTTCAAACTTCAGGCTTATTATTCAATTATTAATGAATTATTGAGTATCTACTATGAATTATTGAGTATGTACTATTAATTTTTCAGTATCTACTATTAATTATTCAGTATGTACTATAAATTATTCAGTGTCTACTATAAATTATTCACTGTCTACTATGAATTATTTAGTATATTTTATGAATTATTCAGTATATTTTATGAATTATTCAATAATTACAATAAATTATTCATTATCTGCTTTTAATTATTTACTAATGTGTTAGCTCTGTAGTTGTGAGAGCGGGAACTGAAGTGTGGACCCACACACAGATTCTCAGAGTTTCAGGGGTAAAAATGATATACATTTAGAAAATAAACAAACTTTACCATTCTGTGAAACCCATTGTTGGGGTGAGGTAGCTCACTGTAATGTGTAACAGCAGTGGTCAGAGGAAACACAGAGACTGCAGAAGTCCTATGATAAATAAATGGTCTTTATATGAGTGGAAGTGGGGGTGGGGGTGGGGTGGGGAGGCCAAGTTCCAGAGCACTGGAGACTGAAGCTTTAAGCCACTGTCCTGTGCTCTGAGGCAGAAATGGTCAGTGCTTAACAGATGTCTAGCAGCGCTGCAGCTCCTTATAAAAGGCTGTGCAGTGATTGGCTGAGAAACAATCATATCCTTAAAGAAGATTAAATCATAATCTGACCAAGGACATTGGGTGACCACATGGCTGCTAATTAGCTGGGTCAGACACGGAGGGGAGAATGTGTGAGCTTCTCTTAGACATAATTCCTTCAGTGGATCATGAATAAATAATGGTAAATTAATAAAAGTCCAAGTATATAATAAGTCCAGTTATGATGCATTGAACACATTAGGATATAATGAATATAGTTAACTGTAATACATCAAATAGAGAACATTAAGCATTTGAACCCTAGTTTTATTATGTATTTATACATTTTAAGGCATATTATTCAGGAAATTATTCGTAAGGTTGATATTAATTGTAAGGTTAGATATGAGAGTGAGGGGTTTAATCTGCTTGTGTTGCAGACTGAGGGCTTGTGTAAGCCCCCAGCTCTGATTGGCTGTGAGAAGACAGAGAAGTCCTCTCCAGGTCTGGATTCCATCCCCCTCAGCGAAATGGACAAAGCAGCTGTACTGACCCTCATCAGAGAGGAGGTACATGACATGCTACATATAGTTTTTATAAATGTTATTAAAGCTTTTTATGCTGTCTGCAACACACCCTCCTGTAGCTTTTTCCAGAAATTTGCTGGATCGTAGAGCCTACATACGAATAGTGTGCTTCTGCTTCCTGAAGTGCTCAGACACAAGGTTTTCGTGCAGTGATCGTTCAGATGCAAACAGGAGATTGTTCGAGAACTCAATCAAGTTTGCATTCACATTGTTTTCAATAGAGGCACAACGGAAAATTCTGCCAATGCAAGCGGCGACAGACTGCAGAGTATAACGCTCCATCACAAGTGTAATTTTCCCAACTTTTTGCCGTCAACTGCCGTGGTGGAATAAACAGGATGTTGATTTTTTTTGGGAGCCATGGACGCCAAACGTCTCGTTGTTGAACTCCAGACAAACACAGTATAATACAACAAAAATAAGAGTACAACGCGGCTTCTGAATTTTCCACTTTAAACAAGCTACACTGATAACACTCTCCTCTAATAATCATCTATTTTAGTGGCACCGCAGTCACCATGCCAACGTTTGCGTGGCTTCATGCTGCCATCAGCCGCGTGCTGCTATGAGTTGCGTAAAAAAGGTTTTTTCAATGCAAACATGAACGCAACTTTAATCCCACAAATGACCTCACAATGGATAGATATTACATACAAGTTCACATTACACCACACACTCTAGCAACCACCTGGAATACCACAACAATGGCCTAACAAGCATCTAACAACCTTCTGAAACACCCTAACTACCAGCAGAGATACCACAGTAACAGCATTTCAGCACCATAGAAAATACCATTAAGACCATAGCAACCACCTGCAACACCATAGGAACCATCTAGCAACATTCTACCAGTACCCACTTACTCTGCACCATCACTCTGCATTTTCTTCAGGAAATTCACTTTTCTAGTTATTAGATAAGTCTGGGAACACAGTCTCAGACAAGAGTATTAAAAATGTTTGTATGAAACTAAACTTGAGTATTTTGCTGAACATCCAGCAAAGCTTGAATGAGCAATATAAATATGATAAAACACAGCTTGATCAGACCTATCTGAGAACTGTGTGGGCGTGGCTGATGAGCAGTTTGATTGACAGCTCTCTGTCCAACACTCGCAGCCTGCTCCACCCCTCATACAGAACTAAAACTATTATCCAGCTTTTATGTGATGCTAACTGGATAAAAAAGTAACAGACATGCAGACAGATGGATGGAGGAAGCAATGCATGAATGAAGGAACAGACGAATGAACAATGTTGGTGTTGGATAAACGAGTGAACGGGCGACAGACAGCTACAGACAGGTCTTCTAGCTTGCTAACCTTTCTTTATGCTGGGTTAGCTTTAGCTCACTAAGTTCTGAAGCTCTCTGGCTCTGAAGCTGTTCTGTGTGGGCGGGGCCACAGACACAGCCTTGTCATTAGTCAGGGCAATGCTTACAGAGGCGTTACCCAAGATTAGGACCGCCCAGTTTACATCGATAGGAGAGAAATATGGTGAAATACAGCACATATATATAAACAGACATTTATTAGATGCTGGGAAGGTTTTTATCAGACAGACATTGTACATGTTTATTTTGGGCTCAAAGGAACAAGATTAACATAATTAGAAAGGAAACTCAGATTTCGGTGTCCTGGGGCTTTGTTTAGCTGACTTCAAGTTGTGAAAAAAAACAAACAAAAAAAAAATGTATAAGTACATCACATTGCTATTAGAGTTCAGAGTTTTTATTAAACTTGTAATTATGTAATTTCACTGTAGCTTTAAGAAAAAAGGCCATTTTGCTTTAAGAGTGGCTCTATATAATGTTTCAGTCTGTTCTGTTTTGATGAATAAGCTTGACCTACTCTGCTCTGTGCCATAGATGTGCCTAAGGTTGAGTTTATGTCTCCACAGATCATTACTAAAGAGATCGAGGCGAACGAGTGGAAGAGGAAGTATGAGGAGAGCAGGATGGAGGTGATAGAGATGAGGTACAGCAAAAACTACAGCTCCCATAATGCAACACTTTCCCTGAAGTAATTATTTTGTGGAAATAAAGGAATGATTGTGTTTGTTTGTCTCTTAATAGGAAAATAGTGGCTGAATATGAGAAGACGGTGGCACAGATGATAGGTGAGCCTTGTTTGACATGGCTGAATTAATAGTTTGGCCACCAAAAAAAAAAACCCAGTTTTCCTTCCTTAACCACAAATGTAATGGATTAGCCAAGACATGTTTGGTGTCTGAACTAGGGGGGTTGTACGACTTCAGATTTTTTAAAGTGGACGGTTATGTGATGAAAGCTGAACTGACATCAACTAATCACTGATGACATCATGTATAAAACCACAGGTGAAAAATCTGTGATGACGCCTTCAGGGAACTGGAGATACAGACCCCAGAATCTCGCAGATTTGTGTCTGACTTAGGTGCACCCTAAGCAGACTTGCCGAGACACTCACCCACGGTGAAGGTCCAGAGAGCCAGAGAAATTTAGAGTGCAGTAACTCTGCAAAAATAAAAGTAACTGACTTCAAACTGTACATGATTGCAGGGCTATATGCTCCCTCTCCAACCACACAGCAGTTTTAATTCTAGTCTTCTGGAAAAAACAGAGACAACAACATTCAATATCTGATCTTTGAAACTCTGTAGATCGGTGGAGGACAAAGCCAAACTCCACAGGTGAGTAGAGCGTGACGTGCCCTTTTCACTGAGCCCTGGATCGCATTGCTGGCCTTCAGGAAACCAGAGATACAGACTCTGAAATCTCCAGGCTCCTCACTTGCTGTCTTCTCTGAGGCATCCATGTTGTTTAGTATCATAATCACATGATCAGCGACTCGATGACATCAAGCTTAAAGCGTCATCGCCGAGAAGTTAAGTTGACTAGTTTGTGCAACCCCTAAACTGAAGTTTGCTTCTTTAGTTCTAGCACTGGAGCTACGAGGCTAATGTAGCCAACAAGTAATGGAAGCTTATACCCACCACCAACGATAGATTTGACATGGACTAAATATTGACTAAAGTACAAACAAAATTAGTGCTACTGTTTATGGCCTATTATTCTTACCTATGCACCTATGTAAGTCCATGTTTTTGTCTAGTTGTTAAGTAATCTCAATTTAACCTGCTTATGTAATGTCTGCAATGATTTACAGATAGTAAATCAGTAGGTTGCCAGATGCTAATTGGTGGGGTACTTTCACTACCTTTTAGCTACATTAGCCTCACAGCTTCTATGCTAAAACTATAGATGGAACCTTTAGACACCAAACGTGTCTTGATGGGAAGTTACTGGGGGACACTGTAAACTAGACCTTTCACCACTACCTTTAGGATTGGGGCCACTATGTATATTTTGTTTTGTTGAACTGTTGCTTTAATATGAGTGTGTTGCTCCTCTCAGAAGATGAGCAGAGAAAGAATATGGGCTCCCAGAAGAGCGTCCAGCAGCTGACCATGGAGAGGGACCAGGCACTGGCTGACCTCAACTCAGTGGAGCGATCGCTCTCTGACCTCTTCAGACGCTACGAGAACATGAAGACCGTGCTGGAGGGGTTTAAGAAGGTGGGTACGCTTACATTATATCACTACAGCAGTTTAGCCCCACCCACTCAGCCTTCAGCAGTTAAGCCCCACCTGTTCACTGTACAGCAGTTTAGCCCCACCCACTCAGCCTACAGCATTTTAGTTTCGCCCTCTCAGCCTACCGCTGTTTAGTCCCGCCCACTCAGCCTACCGCAGTTTAACCCCACCCAGTCAGCCTACAGCAGTTTAGTCCTGTCCACTCAGCCTACCGCAGTTTAGCCCCACCCATATAGCCTACAACAGTTTAGCCCTTCCCATTCAGACTACAGCAGTTTAGCCCCACCCATTCTACCTACAGCAGATTAGCCCCGCCCATTCAACATTCAATATTAACAAGTCAAGTCTCCAGTAAACAACACATATATGTTTATTGTATGTAGCTTAACCAGTCTGTAGTGTAAAGTATGTTGAGTGAGCTGACGGCTCTCTCGCTCTTTTTCCTTCTCAGAATGAGGAGGTGTTGAAGAAGTGCGCTCAGGAGTATCTGGCGAGGGTGAAACAGGAGGAGCAGCGCTACCATACACTCAAACTGCACGCAGAGGAGAAACTCGACAAGTAAGACTGACCCACTGCAGCATTTTAAACCCTTTAAGGCTGATGCAAAACAGTGGCTATTTCTGCCACTATGTATCTACTCTTACCTGTTAATAAAGCGGTTTATAAATGCTGTTATTGCATTCACTCTATATGTAAATAACATATTCTAACAAAGGTAAAAATTCTTAGAATTGAGTTTGTGTTACAAACTACTTCTTAAGACAAATAATCACATGAATAGGAACATGAGAAGCACATCAGTCACATTTTATTGCAATTAATTATCTGATGATACAAAACAGTAATAAGCAGAAAAGCCACTTGCATCTTTTATACAGTCATAGAAAACACTATGGGACACTGTAAGCTCTGGTTCAAAACATGCATTAATAAAATGATTTTACTGTTGCCAATGGCAGCTTTTTGTGGGGGCTGTAACAGGGCTGTATGTTTATTAAATACCTGGGGAAGGTGCTGCAGTGTAATTTGGAATGCATCTGTGCTCCTGTGCACCTGAGTGTTTACAGGTGTGCGATTAACACAGATACGTAGCTCACGCAGGCGTGTCAATAGCTCAGGTGTGTTGTTAGTGCAGGTGTGTGTGACGCTATGCTCTGTGCTGCTGTTTCAGGGCAAATGAGGAGATTGCCCAGGTGCGTTCAAGGGCGAATGCGGAGAGCGTGGCGCTAAACGCCAGTCTGAGGAAAGAACAGATGAAGGTGGAGTCTCTGGAGAGAGCGCTAGAACAGAAGGTACAATCATCTTCAGCCTTTACATATGACTCTGGAATTTAGTATTATTTATTCCATTCTGTATAATAAACAGTTTTCCAACTACTTGTAAGATAAGAGAAGATAATCCTTTATTAGTCCCACAACTGGGCAAATTCCCTGTTTATTTAACACCTGTCCTGCACATTTTGGTGTTATCTAGCTCTAACTTCAAGCCAGGAATGGCTTCTTTAGTGAGCAGATTAGCTGGATTAGGGAACTAGAATTGGGAACTAGCTAACTAGAATAGCTTATCAACCGTTTTTTAGCCAGTGCTAAAGCTTTAGCTTTGAGGGTCTCAAGGACATTGCATGTAAAAGAGCAAATCTGATCAAATTTCATAATTATGTTTTTAATTTTTTATGTTTTCGAAATTATTACCTGAACACTCATTTTGATAAAAATGAAAATATATATTTCTGAACAGACTCTAAAAGCATAAACATAAAAATGCAGACCACTATGTTAAAAGTAATTTACTGTGTATTTGTTCCTCTCTTCCTCAGAATCAAGAGATCGAGGAGCTGACGAAGATTTGCGATGAACTCATAGCCAAACTGGGCACAACAGACTAACACTCAGCGAGATAGACTCTTCCAGCCTCCGACACCCTCCCCCAGCTCCTCAAACTTCGCTTTAACACCTATAAACCCACTCCCAAACTGCCCAGAGTGTACATCTGCACATCTGGGCTGCCTCCTGAAGAAGGAGGAGTCCTTGCTTCCTCTCCTCAAGCATGAAAACGCAACAACGGCTGATAAAATGAAGGAATAAAGTGGAATGGAAAGCAAAAAAAAACCCCTCTCAGTTATACCAACACTCTTTTAGAGACTCAGGAGAGATCCAGCAGCAGCCTACACGGGATTAGTTATGTTTTAATGTGAGGTTGTTTTGTGGGCGAAGCTGAAGTTGGCTTCTAAATCGCCAGCTTCTTGGTTGAATTTTCCGTTCCAGCGGTGCAGCGGTCACATACAGAATGTGTGGAACTTAAGGGGGAATGGAAAATTCACATGAGTATTTATTTGTGAGTGTTGTGTTTGTATGTTAGGGCTGCACGTTATGGACAAAATACTAGTATTGTATTATTTGATTATATTGCTGCATATTGCGTTTGCAATATACCTTGCAGTATATTATGTATACTTTGCTAAGTCAGTAATGTGACATGGAAAAAGATTTGCTTTAATTCAGAATAAGTGACTTTTGTTGGATTACATAAATACACAGGTTCATCAAAACACCCACAGAAAGTCATCTGGAGCTGTGACTGGTTGGGATGCTCATTGCACTCTGATTGGTTAGAGACTCCTTTGTATATTACAGCGTGTGATATCAGTATTGCAAAGATCAAAATCATGATAACGATTACCAGCGATATATCGTGCAGCCCTAGTTTGTATGTGTGTGTGTGTGTTGTATGTGTGTGGGTATTGCATTTTTGTTTGTGTAGTGTATTGGGGTGTAATGATATGGGTATTCATATTATTTTTCAATACAGGCAATACGATATGCAACAAATACAGCTATAACATATACTGACATAAATTGCAATGGTTTCTACATCATTATTAAAAATACACTTCTTAAAGATACTCTTTTATGCAACAACCTGACCCTTCAGGCTGGCTTTTTACAGTGAAACTTTAATGCAACTTTAGTTGCTTAAAATCGAATACATAATGATAAAATCATTATAATAATAAAATCAAATAGATAATAAAATAAGTTTTATAATGTGAAACCTCCTGCGACTCATTTAAAACTTGTTTGCAACAGTTGCAAGCTTCTTAAACAAGTTTTATGAAACAGCCAGCCAAAACACAGAAATTGTGTCACATGATCACATTGAAACCATTGATTTGACCAGATCAGCAAATGAGAATAAAACATTTCGGGCAGTTGAAAAGAAAATGTGTTTGGTAGTCAAATGTGCAACTTTCATTGTTTTCAAGTTGATTCATGTAACTGCCAAGTTGCATGGAAATTATGTTGCAGGCAACTCACAACATGCATCTAGTTGCGTGAAAGCTTTACTATGTAAAGCCAGCCTTACACATAGAAATTTATTTGTCTTAACGCCGTTACATACCGAACGCCATTCCAATAAATAACATAAAAATATTAAATATTCGTATGTCATCAAACTGTACACACTGGATGATGTCATTTTTTTCATTCTCTTTTTTGCAAAGCAGGCAAAAACAAACAAGCAGAATGTGTTCAAGTGACAAAAAGCAGAAAACCAACAAATCCAGACATCATCTTGGTTGTTGCCATGCCAACAGTGATTGGTGGAGTTCATGTTGCTTGTGAAAATTTGCAGAAATCTTATAAAAATATTTAAGCATTTTCACAGTCTGGAAAATCACATCTAGTTTGCAAGATATCAGTTTGAGGTCCAGATAAATCACACAAATAAATCGGACTCAGCATTTACAGGCTTTTGGTTAGGTTAGAAAGTTTTAATTATTCTTGCACTAGATGCTTAATCACCACAGCAGTCTTATATTAGAATAAATAAAAGCAAAATAAATGTTTGTATTAATTTTTTTTTGCTTTTGTATCAATCACCACAGTAAGCCACAGCACATATTGTATTGTGAATTTCATGTATCATTACACCCCCAGTACTGCATGTGTGGGCTGTGTGTGTTTGGATGTGTGTAACTTGTTAAAGCAGGTGTTTTGATTTGTGGGGTAAAAATCATCCATCCGCTCGTTTTCCATCCCTCACTCTGTCCTGGTTTTGCTGTTGATCCTGAAGGGGGCGCTATCACACTCACCATACTGTAAATAAGAGACTTTATTGTATGTTTATTTTGGTCAGTGGTTTGTTTTCCAGGTTTGTGGTCCCATCACACTGTGGGTGGCACTGCAGTCTGTCGTATACAGTGATCAAGGGAAAAATATCTGAGTGTTTTCAGTGTTTACACACTGGAGTTTCTGTGTTACAGTGATTTGCATTTATCGTTAATAGTCAAAGTCAAATTTTTATCATCAAAATATGTGCATTACGTTATGTTAAATGAGGTGTGATGCACCACACGATCAAAAAGAAGTGAGATACTGTATTATAAACAGATCTGTTCAGATGGAAAGTTGTTTTTTTTTTAAATAAGTGAACTTGCGTAAATCTTATCTAATGAAACAGCAGCACAACTTTACATTATAACTTGCAGCACTTAAGATCACAAGACCAAGATGACCATTTATCAGCTTGTGAATGGGCTTTAGGTTTTTGTTTATGCTGTTTTCGATCCTTTAAAGTGATAGTTTGGTAAAATACACCCCCACACACAGCCACACCCCAAACGTAGTTGATCAGCTAAGAGACATGTTTGCTTCTTTAGTTTCAGCTTTGAAGCTAGGCTGAAGTAATTAATGCCTGTTTATGCTAATTAGCATGGTGCTAACTGCATGCCTAAATTATTTCATACTTGCCTCAAACTGTGTGGAGGTGTTCAGAACCTCTAATAGATTTGATTATGTAGTTTCTGACACTGTTTTCTTAAAACGAGTCAGACATTTTTCATTCTCAAATAGTTGTAATTAACTAGATAGTAAATTAGAATTTTTGCTACGCAAATTAGCTTCTCCCTAACATTATACATACTCATATTTGAGAGCCTTGAGATATCTGAACGCTGTACTCTACCAGGGGGCAGTGTAGAACCTGCATCGTATGTTTTGGCTGGCCTTAAAAGATTACTGCGGCCGCCTAAAGGCTACCACACACTCTACTCTTGTGGATTTAATTGTATAAAACTTGCAACATCGTTTTGTAAATTTATCGTGTTTGGTATCGGGTAACTAACTTTGCACAAGCTCACTGGTTTTCTAGCGAAAAGCTACGAGGCACAATGTTACGATGTGGCAAGGCTAGGAATGTTAGCTAAGGTTAAAACAGACAATTAGCATTTGTTTGTTTATCTTAAACTCTGTAGCTCGACCACTTTTCAGTCACATCACTTACACTCTTAAAAAAGATGGTGCTTCAAGGGTGCTTTAGTAAAGAAAATGGTTCTATATACACGATGAACATGATATGTAAACGATGAACACTCAAAGAAGGACTTGATTAAAGGGTTCTTTGGATTGATGGAAAATTTTCATGAATATGCTATAGAGTTTGTTTCTCCTTTTTGAAAAGAGTTCTATATAGCACCCAAAATGGTTCTTCTGTTGTTATAAGCTTGACACCACAACAATAGAAGAACACTTATGGGTGCTATATTGAATATAATTATATTTTCAAAAAGATTCTAGATAGAACCATCTACAGCACATTCTCCATCAGTCTGAAGAACCATTTCACCATGAAAAGAACCCTTTGATTATGCAAAGCATTCTTTTGAGTGTTCATGGTTCTATAGAACAATTTTTATTTGCTGAAGAACTCTTGAAGCAACTTCTTTTTAAAGAGTGTACTGTTGATTTGTGGTCTGGGTTTAATATAGCACAGCTATAGATGCTGAGTGGCGCATTGTTTTGAATGTTGCATGTTTCAGTAACATTTGTTCAATATTTTTTACATAATTGAAAAATCTGAATATCAAATTTGACTGAAATGCTCAGGAAAATGGGCTGGCATAGCTAAAAACAGTAGCAGCTGTCAGGAATGTCCATCTGCAAGTAATGCAAGCATGTCTCGGCTGATCAGCTGCGTTTGTGGTAATGAGGTAATTGTGTAAATCAGATTTTTTGCCAAACTGCTTCTTTAATATGGGGTCTGTTGTTTTAACTCTTCAGTTATGCCTTTATCTCTCTGCGAATGCCATGAAGTTCACTGCCTTTCATTTTCACACCTGTGGAGATGTTATAATAATGAAGTCATGCTAAACTGACAATCCACGCTGCCCGATTTGCTCTGTGCCTGTTTGCCAAAGCGACGCTGACCAAGCGGCTGCTGTTATATCCCGCAGTGTCCATTCTCTATATGCAATAGTCCAGCTCTGTGTAATGGACGTCTGAAACTGCCCGCTGTGGAGGACGGTGGGAAGCGGCCACTGCTGTGCCGCTGATGGGAGTTCAGTGTGTATTTTTATGAGAGTAATATTCCTCTTTTAATTGTTTGTAAAGTGGAAGAAAGAGCTGCACAGAAATCATGTTTACTAATATATATTTTGTGCGCAAGGCATTCGCCTGATTAAAGTAATAATAATAGCTTGTCTTGTTGTGCTCTTGATGTTTTTGTATTCATTCCTGTAGCTGTGTGTGTGTGTGTGTGTGTGGCGGGGGTGGGGCATGTGTGTGTGTGTGTTTGTGTGTGTGTGTGTGTGTGAGTACATGATCAGAGCACAAACACTGCATGTAATATTTTGAATGTTTTTGTGATTTATGAATTATTTTGTCTTTGATTCTCAAGAATAACGTCACCTTTAGAACCTTCAATACTGACACCAATACTGGTAGTACCTTCACACTTAAAAGGGTTCCTTAGTAAAGACAGTGGGCTTTATTCACTGTTCTTAAGAAAGAAATTTCTTTTTAAAACCCACTTATGCAATTTTACGAAGATTATGAAATTCACCAGTGTTTTCATATTTGGGATTTGTTCTTACGTAAGAACAGAATCTACACACACTCAAGAGCACAAAGGTGTGAACAGAACTTTTTCTTAGGACATTTAAGAACAAACGTGAGGTCTGTTTTGGCTCTTCAGTTCTGCCTTTATCTCTCTGCAAATGCCATGAAGTTCACTGCCTTTCATTTTCACACCTGTGGAGATGTTATGATAATGATATATATATACATATATATATATATATATATATATATATATATATATATATGTATAT